TTATACTCTTCGACAGAAAAAAAAAAATTGAAAATTGGTCACACGAATGATGCTTTCAATTTCGTCGATAAATTCGTTTATAAAGCGTCTTACGAGTGTAATAACCACCGGACCGCGTTCTTTCACGACCATTACGTGCTAGAGCAAACAAACGAAACGGACGAACAAACAAGCAAGCTGTCACTCATGCAGAGGGCCGTAAAACGCCAGTCGAGCCAACGAGCCCGTACCCATCCATTGCTCCCTATATTAACGCACTGGGATTTTTTTCCTATGATCAAAAGCAGCAACTCCCATAGAAAATTATCACCAAAGGATCTTATGAAAAAGCAATCGCAGCATAAACTGTCATCACTTGCATGATAGTAAAATCGATGAGCTTTGATGTCAGCGTCAATGATCACGCAAACGCGGCATTATTAATGCAAGAGGCAAAGGAATAGAGAGAAAATATAGTTACAGGTAGTAGTGCACAGAAAGAGACCGAAGCTCGTGTATACTCAACGAAAATAGATATCGAACAAGTCGTCCCCTATCGGATAGTCTCGTGAGTTGACTGTCTACTGGATGGTTAACAATATGTGAGGGCGAAAATTAGAGTTTGTTAAGTGTACACAGTACGCCCATGCATTCATGGCTTGATGGGCTCCTCATGGTAATAAAAGTTTCCACGTGGCCCGAATTTGTGGACTCGATTCGAAGGTCGCGTCAAGCTACAGATATTATCCTGCAGCTGGTCTCTGGAGCTATGCGTCAGGTGCTAACAATGGCGGATGATTAAACGGAGGAGTTGAACTGAATCAGAGCTCTCAGCGTGGGAACTGCTCTTGGCTTTGTGAGAAGAGCCTCGTTTATTTTTTTAGAAGAAAAAATTTTACCGCTTCTCGTCTCTTGGAATAATGGTTAAGCCATTTTGTTCATAGTGCCTTTAGTAGAAATTAGGATGAAAACCGTAAAAACTTTTTTGTCTAGAGTTTAATACCAGTTGACAGTTCAAAAACTGTAATTTTAATACTTTTTCCTTTCTTCTGTGTGGTCATAATTTAAGTAAGAGTTATTAACAATTTAACACAAACGTGGGTTAGGTACATGTACTCTAGCAGACATAAAGTTAAGAGAACCATACATTTTTACTAATTTGATATTTATACCACTTGGATAGCCAATTTTTCAAATGAAAAAATAAAGTTATATTTAATCCTACAGCCTTGTAGCCTGGGACTAAAATTTTTGCAATATAATTTTTAAACGATTGAACAATGTTATTAATTGGAGTTTCAAATTATTGTAAAACCAGAGTTTACGAGACTAGCCTCAAAATGTTTACATCACAAAAATAGTATTCAAAGAAATGTAAAAATAGTAATGTACTAAGTCAATGATAAGGAATTCTTATCCCTAAGTTTATAGATACAATGTCTCAACCCTATATAGTACTCGTAGGTCAAATCTAACATTCATGTCCAATGGCGTTCTCGTACTAAGTGTGTATCGAAACTCTTATAGTTCCCCAGAAAAAATATCCACTCTACCTAGCTAAAGAAAAACATCGACCACTGCATATCCTCCCAAGATCAATAAATAAAAAGAAAATAAAATAAACACTCACCATCAACCCGGTGATACAGAGCACGTAGTGCATGGTCTGCGCCACGTCGGCCGCGTGCAAGTTGTTGTGGTAAGGATTGCGATACCTGCAGTAGCCCTCCTCAATCCTCACGAGAAAACTCTCGAGTACCTGGGGTGGTATTTTGAACTTGGTCATGGTACCGTAGCGGTTGAGCAGGTCGTAGCCCATGTACTTGACCGGGGCACCCTGAGCCGCCTCGTTCAGCCCGAAGACGTCGAACGACCACTCGTCCAGCGTCTGTAATTTTTTACACGGACTAGATAAGCACCTGTTCAAGGTATATCTAATATTTTGATCGTTGAGATTCTCATTAAGTTTTCATAGACGAGCAGTACACAGAGCAAAGACAAAGACGAGACCCAGCGGCTTCTTGTTATTGCTTATTGTTGCGCCGACAAAGCCGAGGGCTGGCTTCTGCTTATTACGAAGCTAAGAGCTCTCGAGTGGGCTAGAAACGCTCCTGTCTTTGTTTCTCTACAAGCAAGAAATGTGAAAAAGGTTCAGCACAACCGGTGAAATGAGATCCCTGAGTTTTGACGAGCCGACCAATGTCTGACCAAATCTTGAGCTCTTCTACTTGACTACTTATACTGTACTTATCGTCCCAACAGCTGCTTCAATGCCATTAGCTTTGGATCAATTTCAAGTCAACTCGTTTATTTATCAGCTTTCAATCTTTATTGCAAATTTCAGTGGTCACAATATTTTTAATCGCCCATTAAATTGTAATGCATAAGAGCACTTGTTTCTACGTAATACTCATCTTGTAACTTTTTTTTTTCTTTCGCGTTTCCGTACCAAACGAGCTCGTAACATTATTAACGTAGGGTGACATTACCCTGACAATTTCGGGATCTGGAGAAACTTGCTCACCACATGCCATTGTCCATCGCTCCCTTGTACCACAACCAACACCCACATGATATTCGTAACCCGCGGACGTCAACGACTAAAATACATAAAGACATACCTTAAGTGACCTGACGACATCCGGGGGAAACTGCATGAGGGCGGTGTTGGTGACACGCCTGTAGATCCGGTCGACGAATATCCCTGCCCTGATGGCGTGTGCGACCGAACGGAATTTCGGTTTCTCGTCGGCCCGGCGCCTCGTCGTCGCCAGCTGTCGCGTGAACGTCGAGGCGAGCCACTCACGCACCTCCGGTGGCACCGCGTCTGGTTGCACCTCCGACAGCTCGTCGTCTTCGTCGGCCAGTCGTCTATTGTTGGCGTATATAAGAAAAAAAAAAAAAAAAAAAAAAAAGAAAGAAAGGGCCACGCAATGGCCAGATATTAGTCACATAAATTTCACTCTGATGGATGATTTATTTTTTTCATTTATGATCTATGGATGACCGTCACTCGTCGATCATTGCACCCAATGGTTTTTTTAATTTTACTTTTTTAAAAGCTTTTTCTCACTTTTTTTAAGGGTTTGCAAAATGATATGGTGGAGGGACATTGGGTGTTGGAAAATTTGTTAGCGTATGCAAGTGTAGATGTGGCCCCTTTTCGAGTCAAGCCGCAGCATTGACTCGCGAAATATTTTACAAGTAAAGAGAGTGGCGAATGTTATTTTTACTGATTGCACGTGCATATTCATCTTTAAAAAATAAGAAATTAAACTTGAAAAGCATTCCGATGTCAGAGCCATGGGTAAAGTACAACGGAATTATCTATTTTTCTCATGTTTTATACACATTTTCATCATACAACTTTGTAATATCAGATGTATATGTACGTTCAACGAAGCAACAAATATAGCACATGTCATTCTGACGTAATATTATGCACTGCATACATTATTCATGACTATGTATGAAAACAAATAGATTACACTCGGCGATTACACGCGAGTTGGTAGTTTCATACTCATACATTATAATAAAAAATAAAAATTGGTGTACGACAGGCGTATAAGTTAAAAACGCTACGTTGAAAGTTTTGTTGCTCAACGGCGTTAAAAAAAATTAAATGTTCTATACTAGGGATATGTTAAAATAGTACGTGTCAAAGGACACGATTGTTTGTGAGATAATTTTTTACATGTCGTGGAGTAAGAGTTGTTAAATAAATAATGAATGTTTGTAAATTGAGACAGATATTGTGTATTTTTTACGATTGTTCTCCGATACAGAAGGGAAAAGGGGTGGTATATCAATTGCATGCTGAAATGAATGTTATACCTTAGCGCTAATGGATAAAACAGAACAGAAAATTTATTTTAGGATGATACGAAATAATATTTACAGAGTGCACTGTTCAAGTTTGTCGAATTTCGATTTTTCGATGAAATACATTTATTGGAAACACAACAGTCAATATTAAATTTTCAATCTTTCATAATAATATGTACTTCATTGATTAATTTATTTGTAATCTTGGATAATAAAAAACACCTATATTTTGTGTACGTAATTGGGACGGACACTCAAAATTTTACACTTAACCATAAATAATCATGCAAAATGCATAAACCAACATATTTAATTTACGTCAATGATTTTGAAAAAATAACAATACTTATTTTGCGTGGCTCATTTATTGTGAACATCAAGATTGTTTTCACACACATAAATTAACACCGAAAACACAAAGCCATTATTATTATTTTTTTTTTTTTCAACTGGATGACAGGTTATATTTACTTACGCAACTCTTATTATTCTTTCCGATAACCTGAACCAGAAGCAAACACTAAATTTGATACAAATTTCAAAATTATCATCTATGAATAACCAAAAACACAAAAATATTGAAAATTAATGCCTTACACTTTTTCTGATATCCTTATTAAAATGAAAATAAAAATCGTCCTACACCATGAGCTAACAGTGTGCAATGGTACAGAAATGCGAGAAGAGAGAAAATAGTAATAAAACTCAACGGAAGTGTGCCGTGAAAAAGAAACAAAAACAAACGCTAACCTAAAACAAAATAAAACGAAATAAAACCCCCGAGGTAAATAAAAAACATGAAATAAAAGACAACGCACTACACTAAGAGGAATAAAGAGAAGTTTGTGAGTATACCTTAGAGGTAATAATAATAATAATAGTAATGATGGGCAGTGCATTTTTTCGTAGGCAGAAAAAGATAGATTATGACGACGAAAAAGAGTAAAGAGATAGAGAGAGAGAGAGAGGCTTTCAATTCCAGTAATGAACAAACCTACGACGCCTGCCCGGCTGACCACTGGCTGCCTTCTCCATTCGCTCGGCTTCTCTATAAAGTAAAATACCACAGAGAAAAGTAACAAACAGCCAATTGACATTTTTGCACAACGGGACGTTCAATACACTACGTGGGAGGAATAAGGGAGGGCGATATAATTTATCAGGTACACGTGTGTGTATCTGTACGGTCAGTGTGGATATACGTACATACAGATGAATTTTTTTAAAATTTATAATAAATAATTCATTAACAAATATTTAAATAACTAACGCGTTATGATAAATCGATGCCAACTCCATCAGTAGTTGAAAATAAAGACTTTCGGTACGTGCTAAGCGTTGTTCCTTCTTCTCTATGATGTTTTTTGTTTCTTCCACTTTATCTTAAGACTCGCCGTAAGAATAAAGGCTTCGTAAAACCACAAGTTTTTTAGAAGTTTTCGCCGATTAATTTTTTTTTTTTCTGCTTTTACATCACTATGATTTTTGGAGGTTACATCGCAATGAATTTTGACAATCTAATATTGTGAGAAGTGACTGTTTACTGGACAGAATCCCAAAAACAAAGAACGTGTATTGAGCTGAGATTAACATTCGTTATCTCTTGAGTTAATGTAACAACGCTGAGCACGTATTTAAAAATTTTTTTTTTTTTTTTACAAACATAACATTAAAAATAATTTAAGACTCTCAAAAAGTGCAGGATGCAACTTTACTGGTGTAATAACTAGGAAATCGTTCGTAAACAAATTAAATAGATCATTTTCTAGTTAAGAAGAAAGAGACGATGCGTCGAGTATATTTGCGAGATTAACTAGAGTACTTGACTAGTCCATAGGGATATAGAAATGATGATGGTGATTCAGTCGATGATAAAATCATCCTAGTTTGATAGTGCTTTCTATAAGTGCAATGTAAATATTAACATTCATTAGTGAAAAAAAATCGCTACCGAAGAACTGGAGAAAAAACTTATAATCTATAATCTATTGATATACAAATATAGTTTTTTCCACAAGGATCGTAGTAAAATTCTACATGAGACAAGGAGCGCAGTTATACGATTTGAGAAGGGTCGAATCAGGCAAGAAGTAGAAGAGCCGCGAGAGTAATCAGCTTAGGATCGATCACCTTAATCCATACTTATTTGTCGATTCCCCGATAACTTCGCGCAATCAGTCAGTAAACGAAGAAACAGCCCGTTGCCATCACGAATCTTAGTACTGATTCGTGTGTACGGAAACATCCTTTTCATACTAGGGTAATGAAGTGAATGGAGAGCCGAGGAAAAATTTAAGAAAAAAAGCAAGCGCGAAAAAAGCGAAGAGGTAGGTAGGAGTTAAAACCTCAAGCCCACTCGGGCGCGTGTTCTAGATTTCACGCACAGAAGTACCAGGTGTGCTGTATTAGTGGTGGGAGGAGCCATGTTAATTTTACGCGAGCTTTTGTTAAGTCTTGGCTGATAAGTATTAATACCCGAAATGAGCTTGCAATTAGTATTTAAGCGTGAATTTTCGTTGTTGCCGTACAGTTGTGTATAAGTCCTTCATTTGCAAGGTATTAAAATGGACAGTTTGGAGGTGAGGGAAAGTAAACGGCTAATTAGAAATAGAATTTCCAGTGTTTTTTTTTTTTTTTTTTTTTTTTTNTTAAGTATCATGTTATTTTTATTACTTAGAAGCAAATGTATTTGCGTATACTTAATGGTATACATCACTACGAAAAGATCTGTATAATAATTACTACTTGAAAAATTTTTGAAGTACTCTCATTCTTGTAAATACATTTTTAAGTAACTTTTTGCTTTCTACTACCTTCTAATTAGACTAAAAGTATTAAAAAAAATAAAAAATTGGTTCTCCGTGCAACTAACTTTTTATTTATTGCGGAAAACGAAGCTAGATTCATACCTAAACCTAATGAAATTGTTCTAGAAGTGTAAATAAAAAAGGATTTGATTGATGCCTACAGGTTAATATATATATAAATTTAAAAAAAAATGATAAAAAAAGGAAAGGACTTGATACGTATATGTGATTTATCTATTAAAATTATTTCTTCGTTTCTAAATATCAAAAAAAGAAACAATTTCGGTTGGAGTAAGGTTTGTTCGCACGCGGATATGAAAATTTAGGGAGGAATAATTGTCGTTGGTAATTGTGAATGTATTTGGTCGCAACCTGGCCCACACGGGGGTGCGAAGCTTCCGCTTCTGTGTAGCCACGGCGTGGCTCTGCGGTCCATCGGCGTCGAATCCGGGCGGTGGTGTGGTCGTTGAAGGCACCGACGGCAACGTGGTCGCCCTACGAGGCGCTCGCGGGTGCACCCTAGGGTTGTGCTCATTAGTTACTTTTACACAGCATTAGCCTTACTTACACACATACGAGACACCAAACTTTAGTTGTCTTTGTTCTTTTGTTTTTTGATTTTTAAGGGTGTGTTTAAAATTTTCAGCTTGCGTTACAAAAATGAGATATTTGTTTCTAAATTCAATTTCTACAAAAATCAAAAATCAAAAAAAATTTCTATTATTCTACTTTGTCTCGATCAATCGCATATAATTATGGATTAAAAATTTATTGTTAAAAATACAGCAAGTGTATTTGTGCACATAGATATAAAACAATGACAAATATACAATAAATTATACGGTAAAAACAGTCTCGGTTCCAGCAGGCATCGGACGTTCCAGGGTTTGAAAACTGCAAGCTAGACATAACATATCACATCGCATTCAGGACCACTAAAATGGAATTCAGAAAAAAAAACGTATAGAGGAATAATAAGTATAAATAGATAACATATAAACGTTATGGATGTGGACGAATAGACGAACAGAACAGGCAGGCAGACAGGGGTTAGTTAAGTATTCAAAGCACATAGTCAAATCTATATCGATATAAACGTCGAAAATAACGCAAAAAAGTAATATGTATACAATAATTATTAGGTACGTATGTGTAGAGGAACTTGAGGTTGTTTGATTTTTTAAGGTGATTTTACATGTACAACTCTCTAGGCCAGTAGGAGGTAAAAAACTTAATTTGCCAAAAATGTATCTACATTATGCACACGTTTTTAAAACTGTAAATGATTTAATTATTAATAATTACCAGTAAAAAGTAATTATATTTGATTTTTGATCGTGGGTGGAAAAATACGATTTTCTACAATAAAAACAGAGCGGGAGGTGCCAATTTTCCACCCGTATGTTTCAAAAAATCTTGTACGCAACGTGAAGGATTTCCACACTCGTTACATAAATATCGATTAAATGGTTACTATATTTTCAGTATTGAAAAAATTCAAGACTTTTATTTACTCTCATGTACTACAAAAAATTTGTTACGACCGAAGAAATTTTTATTTTCTTGCATAACCACCTTAATATCAAAACATTATTCCAATGATAATGTAACTTGGATTATATTTCGTAGAATAGTATCAAGTATTACAAGTCCATGCTTTCCCAACTTCCCCTACACGCACGTAAATCAGATATCTCTGTTGGGACGTAAAAGTCATGCCACGCGAACGAGTTTTAACTACAAAGTAGGTACAGTATTAGAGATGTGTGTTTGTGTTCGGTCTATAATCCCGCGGTGGTAGATTGCATTGTACGAGGGATCCTTTCCCTCATCGTCCTATGAAGCTCATATATATATATATGTAGAATACATAGACAATGAGACACGGGAAACTGGATGGATGTATACGTATACGCGTGCATTTGTTACGAAAGGTTGTACGAAAGCGTGTGCTCACGCCCCCACATTTGACAAGAATCGCATCATTGTACCTATGTAACAAGCGCTCTTTGATAGACAACCTCGCAGAAAGTGTAACAACTCGATTGGTTTTCGTATTTTCTGGGCGAATGCAGGGATTTTTTTGTTTATGCTAAAATAGGGTTCTTTCGTGTAACATTTGGACATGGATTTTTTTTTTTTCATGAATATTCAACAAATTTGAATCAAAAGTAAACTAAGAATAATGGAAAGAAGATGTAGTGATTTTTTCATTTATGATTTGCACGTTTTTAAATAAAACCATTTTTACAACTGGTGCTGAAAGATAATACTGTATTATGTGTTTTTTTTTTTTTTTACTTCAAGTTGTTATCAAGCCTGATATAGGAAATAAGGTGTTGCGATTTACGAAAGTAAATGAAATAAAATGCAGAAACAATTAATACAGTACAAAGTAGTTTGATTATCTTTTATTTAATAAAAAAATTAAAAAACATGTAATTTAAAAGAAAAAAGTTGAGTATGTGTTTTTCTTATATTGATATTTTATCTGATAAATAATAAGTTATTAACTGTAATATTTATTACCGTAATTACTAAACTTATGTATAACGTATGAGTGAATAATTGCTGAAAAAACAACATATCATACCAAGCTTACGGTTTGCCTGAACATAATAGAATACATATTCTAATTCTAAACTGGATTTACTAGAAAAATTTTATGATATTTAATAAATTATTAAAATATTTAAACTCGTTAATAATTTATGTTTAACAAATTATTAAAAAATATTTATAA